AAAGAAAGGTTTTCCAGGGGGGCACAGAAAAAGAGGCCACAATTGGAAGTTGAAGACCAAAAGAGCAGAGAGATAGTAGGAAGATTTCCCTTTATCAAGGTTAAGGGAGTGGAATAGCCTAGAAAATGACGTGGGACAGGAACCATACCAGTTTTAAGACGAGGTTTGTAAACCATGGGGAAACGGGGAAGAAGGGCCTAGTAGCAACCCGGGGAGAGGGGGGGCCAGGAGTGGACTCGAAACCCCTCAACCACAAATAGGTAGTACAAATAGGGGAGTAACACACACCACACTTAGAGAGGGGGCAGAATGTTGTGTGTGCCACTTTCCACAAACTTCAACACGTCCCTGGAAACTGGGGAAATCCTGGGATGGAAAACGGCAAATTGGTTCCCTTTTTAAAAAAGGGACAGAAAAGAGGCACTAAACTAAGACCGTATCCTGAGTGTATATTTGCAAATTTTTTGGGGAAGTTATCAGGAGGGGGGTGGGGGATCACCTGGGAAAGGAACAAGAGTATAAAAGCCCCAAACCCGCACGGATTTTTGGGAAGGGAAATCCTTGTCACAAACTTCTGGAGTTTTATGATAAAATAACAAAGAAGACACAGAGGAGGGGTGGGTTGATTGCATCTTTTTGGCTGCAAGAAGGCCTTTGACACGTTCCACAAGAGATTAGGCAGAAGCTAGAGGATCAGGTCATATAAAAGGAAGGACACTCCAATGGATCAAGAAAACCTGACAGGAAAGGGAACAACGAGTCATGGTACGAAAGATGTATCACAGTGGGCACCTGTGACGAGCGGGGCCCACAGGGGTCGGGCCTAGGACCGTCTAATTTTGGTATATGTGAAAAGACAGATGGGAAGGGTTAACTCAGAAGTGTCCCCGTTGAGACGATGAGTTAACGTGGAAATTTTAATCAGATGAGGACCGGGGGGACTTCAAAGAGATGGCAGGGTGGACACCCGGTCCGCAACTGGCTTCTCGAAATTTAATCCCGCCCTTTCAAAAACATGAAGATGGGGGGGGCACAGAAGACCGCAACAGGTATAGGCAGGTCCAAAGCTGCCCCAAACCCCGCTCAAGGAGAAAATCTTTGGGGTGATTAACACCCAGAAAAGTCCCCGAAGCCACATCAACCAGGGAACTGCTGCAGCATATGGGCGCCTGGCAAACCTGAGAACAGCGTTCCGATACCTTAAAAAAGGAATCTTCAGCCCCTACACCGTGTACGTCAGGCCATACGGAGTTGAAACACCTGTTTTGGGGCCCGCACTTGATAAAGCACGTCAAAAAACAGAGAAATGCAGAGGTTTTCGACAAGGTTAGTTTCCCGGGTAAGGGGCATTTTTTATGAAAAAAAGTTAAGGGGAAAATTGGCCCCGACGACACTAGAGGACAGGGGGTCAGGGGGGGACGATAACGACATATAAAATACTGCGCGGAAAAAACAAGGTGGACAAAGACAGGATGTTCCAGGGGGGGGAACAGAAAAAAGAGGGACAAATTGGGAAATTGAAGAACAGAGAGTTGAGAGTATTAGGAAAATTTCTTCAGTATAAGTTGTCGGGGATGGAATAGCCTAAAATGAGAGTGGAGGGAGGAACCATACATAGTTTTAAGACGGGTTTGTAAAGCTCATGGGCGGGGAGAGAGAGGACCCCGTACAACCGGTAAGAGGCGGGCCCGGGGCTAAGAAAATGACCCCTGCAACCAAATAGGGGAGTACACACACACACACACACACACCACACACACACACACCAACACACACACACTAATATATATTATATAATATTTTTATATAAAAAAAAATATATAATATATAATATTATATTATAATATATATAAATTTTTATTAATATGATATTAAAAAAACCCTTTCTGGGTACTAGTGTGCATTACACCGACGAGGGAAGGGGGTCCATCAGATTCGATACACAAAAAGGGGTTAAAAATCCCAAAGCTTTTCTAATGCTTTACGCATCTGCATCCTGAACGTTTCGGTGAGAAAAAGGAAAAAATTTTTTAAATTGGTATTTAATTTTTATTACCATGTATCGCTATTGATTGTTCTATAAAAACCCCACAAAAAAGTCTCATTCACTCCCAAAAACCTGTCGATAAATCTTTTTTTAACCCGTTAGTCTTGCCATACTCTCAACGTTGGTGATATTTCCCCCATTTTTTAAAAAAATTTTAAAAATTTTGTTGGGTATTTAAAAATTGACTGTAAAAATTTTCACCATTTGCTTCAAAGTGAGTCTATTGAATTTTTGACGGAATTTAATTTTTTATTGTGACTCATATTATTTGGGGCCAAAGAAAAAGACATAGACGATGAAATCACAGAGCCAATAGTGTTGATCGATCACAAAATCGTAATGACACGTTGCAAAAAAACCCATACCAGGGCGGGGATAAAACCCCGCGATCAGAGAGTCTCAAAACCCCATTTTTCAAAATAAAAAAATTTTTGTTACTGATTTTTCAAAAGGGTTAAAAATTTCTACGGGAATTAAGAACCCAACCACCAACCAGACCTGATTCTAAGAGTTACGTTTTAAGGGATGACTCCAAAAGATTTGTGCAGGGTGTCCTGACTGAACCTTATTAGCCGACAGCTCCAACCCTACCAGACTAAGTCCTACACTCAGAGGACGACTGAGACAACACAGGGTCGTAATTGACCGATTTGGGGGCAAAATTTAATTGCTTCGCTAAAAGACAGTATCAATCACAGGCTACTATGGGTTTTTCACACCCCGTGTCCTTTACCAAAATTATCTTTTTTACATGTCTCTCTTTACTTATAAAATCTTCGTTGCTATGCTAACGTAACCTGAATTAATTGATTTTAAAGGGGGTTTGACTACGATCCCTCAAGAACGTGCAGTTTTTCCCTTTTCAGTGCACCCTTTTAAATAAAACTTTATTTTTCTACCAATTCACAGTTTCATCTCAGATAGCTTTTCCCATTTGACTTTTTTTTCACATTTTTCCCCAGGTATGATGACCCCCAAAAAGGGGAGGCAATTCACCTCATACACGAGGGTTCGGACCCTCCCACCTTCCTTACCTTGGGTGTTTGGGGTGGTTAGCATCCCCACTAACGGGGCCATCCCGCTCTTACTTTCGCTAACTACTGCCTCCACCGTTTTTCCCCAGTTTGTGGGAGCCCCGAGTCTGCTCTCAGGATCGAGGCTTCTTATTATTGGTGGTGGGATAAGTTAAATTGAGTGAAGATGACGGGGGGGGGGTCGTCTTTAAGCGGGTGAGAAGACCTAAAAAATGAAGGTAGGGTCTGGTGAAGGTAAGTAGGCAAAGGTGTGGGTGAGCGAGATTTGAATAAAGGCTGAGTAAACACGATGTAAAAAAATAGGACATTAGTAAGGAATGAGCAAAGGAATATGCGTGAGCTTTAAAATTATAATACTGATCTTCTGTCAAAAGGGTTTTTGGTTTTGTGCGATAGTGCTGTGATAAAATGATAAGAAACAAAGGCCGTGTTTTAACAAGTGAATGGCAGAAGACATGCATTTGGTAGGTACCTTTCTGTTTATATAGATTTTGCAGATATAGTTTCTCCTAGTGGAAAAATTTTTTTTCCCCTATACTATAAACCACGGAGATAAAGCCGCGGGTTCAGATCCCGCCCGGGGTTTTTGTTTGCAAATTTTTTTTACGATTTCGTGGTATAATGGATCTATAATCAAAAATAATGTAATTTTGTATCTTTAACTTCACTTTTTCCCCGTTAATATAAACAGACAGTCGGTGATTTGCTAATTTTATAAAAAACAACTAACAAATACAGATATTAGAAAATACTGAATTTTTCATTTAGTTCTCACTTTTATTTTTCCCTATGGTTCCCTGTAATGGTATTTTATTTGTCAAGAGAAATTAAAAAAAAAAATTCTTGACGAGAGTCATAGTTACATAATGACTCAGTGAATTTTTTGGTTACTTGATCGAGGCCTTCCGCTTGTATCAGTCACCCATTAAAATATTAAATATCATATCATACGACGTGATGGTAGGATGTGAGTCCTGCTAAACTATTGATTGTAAAATGTGCACCAAATTCACTTACAAAGTGAGTCTATAGAATTCATTGACGAGATTTTAACTCTATATTACTGTGACTCATAACATTTGGGTCAAAAGAGTAAGATATTAGCCATGAGAATCACAGCGCCAGTATTGTTAAAAAAAAAAGATTTTGTAGCGCCATTTGTCAACATCTAACCGCAATCTAACACTGAAGAGACTGGCTTTCAACAAATGCTCTTATATTTGCGAATAATTTTCTTAAAAAATTCTAATGAATGTTGTCTTAATAAGCAAACGTGAGATAAGGTGTCCTGGTCATGGACCGGCCGGCATGGTCATGGACCTAGCCACTGGGGCACTGATCTCCTGAGCACCCTCCAGGTACACTCCACCCAATAAACTAGGAATTGCCAGACAGTAGTGTCCTAAGATAATGTTCGTAGTTCCTTAGTGCTCCATTAATATATCCAGACAGGAGCCTTTAAAGCATTATCCTCGTCTTCAGAAGTAATTAAATTCCCTTGTACTGTGTAATGTATAATGCACACACATCAACTACGCTACCTGATCCTCACGAGTTTCTGTCCTTCCTGAATTGCCATTATGATGCACTCAAGTCATTGTCACTGTGTATAACTGCGCCTCCTGCGCCATTACCTACGTCTTTGCAATTTTGTCTCGGTATGTTATTTCTACTCCATCTGAGATCGCTTACATTATCCAAACGTTATCAGTTGTTCAATATTAGCCTACAGTTTGGAGAGGAACTTTAGATGACGTTTCATTACATTCTGAACTTTTATCATTCACAATCACGATGATCAATCTGGGTTTTAAAAAATAATTCAGGATAGATCAAAACGTTGTCTAAAGGCTCTTATCCAAATTGCCCTCGTCGCTACAACATCCGAGACGGTGTTTACATTACCTGCCTCTCCCCAGTTTTGCTGACCTGGGTCAACTCGAGGAGGGTCAAGTGGGCCACGTCCGTACAAGATATGCTGGCTCTGACCAAAGTCTTGGCTCTTATCATGATCATCGGGATTGGCATCAACCGCTTGGCGTGGGGAGGCACTCACAACTATGATGACCCCATGGAAGGCACCAACTGGAATCCAGTGTTTATCGCCACTGCTTTTTACCACACTCTCTTCGCCTATGATGGCTGGTAAGGAGGGGATTAACTACCTATGTGATATTACTATTTGTACTTACGGAAAGTGACCATATTCATATATACTCTCAATAATATTGATTAATTCATAGTTATAAAAAATTCAGAATACTTAAACAATATTATTTTTGGATTTGATTATTACCTGAAGTACTGAATCAAATTTGTGGGTAGGTCGGACAAATACGTGGGTACGAATGGGTGGTTTTGATAAGGACGTGCCTTGAATGAGCCTCCATTCTTATGTTCTTATGTAAGGCTGATAGGTATGGGTACAAAGGTATCTCGTAGAATATATGGAACAGTTTTATTGAGGCTTCGCTTCACTCAGGGTTCGAACTTCGTCAAGTCATACTTATGTTACTCTTTGCACGTATATATTTATACTCACTAAGAATGAGACGTTTGCTAGATGCTTAACACAGAAATTTAAAGCATATTTGTGTGTAAAGACCCAGTTATCACACAGAAAATTCTGTATAAAATTGGGTTGATCAACTAAGCATCCTCACATAGAATTTCTTTAGCTTTTGTAGTCCTGGCGGTAGAACTTGTGTCTGGTTAGCACCAGCAGAGCAACTATCATTCGACTCCTTCCATTGCTGTTATATACACAGTGCTGTGAATTATCATTATGTATATGGAAAATTTAAAATTACCTGGATGAATCTCATTCGATACATACCAGTAATTTAATAAAAGTAACAAAGATAATTATTCTTTGTCAAGGTTACAGAGCCATGTAGAAATTTTAGGACACTAGGTGGCAAAAAATGTCCCCCTTCGATATCTACTCCACTCTTTCTGTCTCCACAAGTCACTCTGGACCTATATTAATTTCAAATGAAATATACATCACCAGGAATTCTGGTAAACATTAATATAAATATGTGGACTGTATGTTAAATTTAATAAATAACTACATATGCATTGAAGGAGAATTTATAATAATAACACTCACCAATTTATCTGGAGATTACTTGGTGTGTCATACAGAAACCCCTGCCTAAAATATGAAGAAAATACTGGCCAGAATTCTAACATAAATAGACATGACTTAGCTGGGGTTCCCTGACTGTCCTGTCCACTCGCCTAATGTTCACGTTATGCAGGACTGCAAATCCAACAGTTTCTGCTCCTATTTGGGAGGTTTCAACCACAATTTAACCTCCAGAGCGACGAAATTTATGCACATTTCAATCGCGTGCCTTCAGCCCAGTTCAAAACAATGGCGTCTCTCCTTCCCCAGCGATGCTCACCAATTTCATTGGTTCTTTGTTTATTTACAAATTAATTTTCATTACCTACAATATATTCCATCAATTTACATACAAAATACACTGTATTTTCGGAAAATATACAGTATTTTCCACAATGTATATCTCCTAATCCTTACTAATAATGGTAGAATTACCGACAAAATGTTAAATGGACATAGATGCAACCAATGTGACATTTTATTGTGGCAACGTTTCGCTCTCCAGGAGCTTTGTCAAGCCGGCTTGACAAAGCTCCTGGAGAGCGGAACGTTGACACAATAAAATATCACATTAGTTTTATCTGTGTCCATTTACCTAATAGCCTAATCCTTCTTATACATGACAATAAAACAAAGGCTACTTTAACCGATTATCCAAATTTATTTAGTAAATAATTTAATACTTTATTTTCCCCAGTTCTTTACACTTTCTTAAATAGTTGCAGCATTCTATATCTCACGAATCATTAACAATATTTCAGGGACAGCCTCAATATGGTCAGGGAGGAACTTAAGGACCCAGTTAGGTGAGTTTTTATGTTTCATTATTGCTAGGATTGTCAGTCTCAGGATCCCATCCCAAAAATATGTAACGTAATTCATTCTTTATGCTCATTTTGGAGCAATTACAATTTGCATTTTCTTATAAATTACTTTAGAAATTATCTTGTATCCAATTCTATTATCAAATTTTTTTAGTGAAGGAATATATATTGGTGTCAGTCTCACCTTTTTCTTGTAATTTAAATTTGTTATATAGAATTCTTATTGTTGGTGTCGAAAAGTCCTCTTCATAATTTTTTTTTATATTCTTTTATATTCATGTAATATGGTTATCATACATCCTTCCTTCCTCCTCTCTATAAACCAGCACGTATTCAGTTCTTCATTTCTTCTTCGTGTGTGTGTGTGTGTGTGTACTCACCTATTTGTGGTTGCAGGGGTCGAGACTCAGCTCCTGGCCCCGCCTCTTCACTGATCGTTACTAGGTCCTCTCCCTCTCTGCTTCCTGAGCTTTGTCATACCTCTTCTTAAAACTATGTATGATTCCTGCCTCCACTACTTCACTTGCTAGGCTATTCCACTTCCTGACGAATCTATGACTGAAGAAATACTTCGTGTGTGTGTGTGGTGTGTGTGTGTGTGTACTCACCTAGTTGAGGTTGCGGGGGTTGAGTCCGAGCTCCTGGCCCCCGCCTCTTCACTGATCGCTACTAGGTCACTCTCCCTGAGCCGTGAGCTTTATCGTATCTCTGCTTAAAGCTATGTATGGATCCTGCCTCCACTACATCGCTTCCCAAACTATTCCACTTACTGACTACTCTGTGGCTGAAGAAATACTTCCTAACATCCCTGTGATTCATCTGCGTCTTCAACTTCCAACTGTGTCCCCTTGTTACTGTGTCCAATCTCTGGAACATCCTGTCTTTGTCTACCTTGTCAATTCCTCTCAGTATTTTGTATGTCGTTATCATGTCCCCCCTATCTCTCCTGTCCTCCAGTGTCGTCAGATTGATTTCCCTTAACCTCTCCTCGTAGGACATACCTCTTAGCTCTGGGACTAGTCTTGTTGCAAACCTTTGCACTTTCTCTAGTTTCTTTACGTGCTTGGCTAGGTGTGGGTTCCAAACTGGTGCCGCATACTCCAATATGGGCCTAACGTACACGGTGTACAGGGTCCTGAATGACTCCTTATTAAGATGTCAGAATGCTGTTCTGAGGTTTGCTAGGCGCCCATTTGCTGCAGCAGTTATTTGGTTGATGTGCGCTTCAGGAGATGTACCTGGTGTTATACTCACCCCAAGATCTTTTTCCTTGAGTGAGGTTTGTAGTCTCTGGCCCCCTAGACTGTACTCCGTCTGCAGTCTTCTTTGCCCTTCACCAATCTTCATGACTTTGCACATGGTGGGATTGAACTCCAGGAGCCAATTGCTGGACCAGGTCTGCAGCCTGTCCAGATCCCTTTGTAGTTCTGCCTGGTCTTCGATCGAGTGAATTCTTCTCATCAACTTCACGTCATCTGCAAACAGGGACACCTCAGAGTCTATTCCTTCCGTCATGTCGTTCACAAATACCAGAAACAGCACTGGTCCTAGGACTGACCCCTGTGGGACCCCGCTGGTCACAGGTGCCCACTCTGACACCTTGCCACGTACCATGACTCGCTGCTGTCCTTCCTGACAAGTATTCCCTGATCCATTGTAGTGCCTTCCCTGTTATCCCTGCTTGGTCCTCCAGTTTTTGCACCAATCTCTTGTGTGGAACTGTGTCAAACGCCTTCTTGCAGTTCAAGAATATGCAATCCACCCATCCCTCTCTCTCTTGTCTTACTGCTGTCACCATGTCATAGAACTCCAGTAGGTTTGTGACACAGGATTTCCCGTCCCTGAAACCATGTTGGCTGCTGTTGATGAGATCGTTCCTTTCTAGGTGTTCCACCACTCTTCTCCTGATAATCTTCTCCATGATTTTGCATACTATATATGTCAGTGAAACTGGTCTGTAGTTTAATGCTTCATGTCTGTCTCCTTTTTTAAAGATTGGGACTACATTTGCTGTCTTCCATGCCACAGGCAATCTCCCTGTTTCGATAGATGTATTGAATATTGTTGTTAGGGGTACACATAGCGCCTCTGCTCCCTCTCTCTATACCCATGGGGAGATGTTATCTGACCCCATTGCCTTTGAGGTATCTAGCTCACTCGCTTCCTCGGTTGTGTGCACTGTGTCCAGCACATGGTGGTGTGCCCCACCTCTCCGTCTTTCTGGAGCCCCTTCTGTCTCCTCTGTGAACACTTCTTTGAATCTCTTGTTGAGTTCCTCACATACTTCACGGTCATTTCTTGTTGTCTCTCCTCCTTCCTTCCTTAGCCTGATTACCTGGTCCTTGACTGTTGTTTTCCTCCTGATGTGGCTGTACAACAGTTTCGGGTCAGATTTGGCTTTCGCTGCTATGTCATTTTCATATTGTATTTGGCCCTCCCTTCTTATCTGTGCATATTCGTTTCTGTGTGTGTGTGTGTGTGTAATCAACTTGTGGTTACATGGGTGTTACTGACCTTGGTAACACTAGTGAACTATACTGTAATGAGACTGTCTCCTCTCATCAATGTTCTCTTCTTCCCTTCACGTAAAAAATACATTTCATGAAATAAAAGAGGTTAGGCTTTCTGCTTTCTGGTATTTCCAAGTTGGTATATTATGAGAAACTCTGTCAGAACTCTTTTAAACTCAAAATAAAATCAGTGTCCCGTTCCCTCACCTTCTATTGTTTATGAGACGAAGTTGTAATAACAAAATGAATTAGATTAATGAGATCTTTCTGAAATAAATAACGGAATGTTTATCAATTAATATATTGTTTATTTCCACGTGTATGATATATTAATGTTAATAGCCCCTTTATAATATATTTCGTTGACCAAGCTGGTTACTGAAACTGGCTTATAATTAACGTAATATCAACTGTCACTTTATTTTCACAAAATTCGCAGTTATTCCATTTGCTTTTCATTTTAGGTAATTTCAGCTGAGTTCCAAATTTACTGCTGTATAGCCCTTGTGGTTTAGCGCTTCTTTTTTATTATAATAATAATATAATAATAAATCCAAATTTCTTCTAGTGTGAACAACTAAATTTATCCAGATACCTCGCTGAGGCGAAACATCGTCTGATTTTTCTGCTTTATTTTTGCCAATATTCATCAATAGTTTTTCATTATTTTCTCTCTCTTGTTTCAGTGATGGTTAATTCAGTTGGCAGCTGAGAGCCTCACACATCATTCCGAAAAACTTTTCTTTTGTAAATACACTCTGAAGCCTCTTATTAAACATTTAAACTGTTTTTTTATTTCCACAGTTTGTTTCTTTCATACTCTCTCATTTTTAGCTCTCAAAAATGTATTATAAGTTTTATTTTTAATCCTTTTCCCACGTTTTATATCTCTCACTCTCTTGATCATGGCATATCAATATATATCATTGTCCACTCATATTTCTTCCAGTTCTTTTTATTCTCGTAATTAGAAGCAATATTGTAAACATCATTAAATTCTTCATATATTTTATTTATATCAAATACATTAAATATAAGAGTTGTAAGCAATGTTTTTATTTCACAGAATTTTCTGTTTAAGATTTCATTCTTACATGTTTATATTCTTGCCTAGTGTTGTCGAAAGGTAACAATGTATAGTGTCTTACTTGTGATTGTCGAACGGAGGAACGAGCCTCAACCGTCAGTAAAAAGAATTAAAACAGAAGAGAACAGAGAAAGACTGTAAGGAAATATGGAAAGGCTACAAATATCTCTTAACCTGATCAAGGGCAAAGTTCAGTAAATGTGGTTGAAAGAGAAGATCGGAGAAAGGGTACAGCCTAGGTGGAGAGAAGGTAAAAAGTTTCGTTCAAGGAGAACGATCTAAGAGTAAATAAGAACATAAGAATGGAGGACACTGCAGAAGGACTACTGGCCCATACAAGGCAAGTCCTTATCAAAACCACCTCTTATGTTCTTATGAAAGAGAAGGTGGAGCGAAGGTATATATATAAGGAGTAACAAATATTCTGATTGCCTTCAGGGGTCTAAAATAATCCGTTTAACACTAAAAAACATATGCTAGTACTTTCTTACTGTACAGCTGCACATGTGTTTGGAAGCTCTAGAAAGTTCAGAGATTTGCAGTCAGACTTGTTCCAGAGCAGCGTGGACACATTTGCAGGTAATACCCAGAGAACTGAACCTTAAGACGCTAGTGTATAGAATGTCCAGGAAATGACATAGTTTCAATACACAAGATAATCAGACGCTATGCCAATGCAGATAAACCATAGTGAAATGAACGGGATTAGAGGGCACTGGTGAACGCTAAAATGTAGGTGAGCCACAGGGATGTGGCTGGAAGTGAACTTTATGCATACCTTAATAGAGCCCAAAAGGTAACAAATCATAAGGATGATTAATGGTTGTGTAGTTAGATTAAACAAGAGGAGGATATGATTTAAGACTCAACTCACGCAAACGCAGAAATACACAAATAACCAGCACATAGAAGAGAGGAGCTTACGACGACATTTCGGTCCGACTTGGACCAATTACAAAGTCACTTTGTAAATGGTCCAAGTTATTGTTCCAGTCACGGTATTGTGCCTTTTTTTGTTATTAAAACACAGAAAGTACATACATGAAATTTTTACCCTTGATCCTGGAGAAGGGCTTTTAATCTATGGAATTAAAACTACCCTCTCCTTTCCCTCTCTTGGATCAAATCTGATTGCCTCCCATTTCTCAGGCACTGTATGCCCTCTTCGAGTTAGGAACTTCCTCATGATTATAACAGCTACAGCCACTGATTAGCTTGGTCTCCCGGTGACAGGAACATGCCGAGAGCCATTGCCATCTCCCTCAGCAGCGTCATAGTAATCTACATCCTCACCAATGTTGCCTACTTCGCTATCCTCACACCTGAGCAGATACTCACCTCTACAGCAGTGGCTGTGGTGAGTGTTGTGGTGCTCTAGACTTCTACAGGAGCCTTGAGACAAAACGTAGTTACGAAAAGCCTATTATATGGAATTAAAAGTACATTGATGGTATAAAAAAAAAGCCCAAAACTTACATTAGAGCAGTAAAATTTAATTAACAAAGATATTTCCGCACGAGTGCAGACTTTTGGCAACCTGACTCTGGGTGTGATGGCATGGATGATTCCCATCTTCGTGGCTTGTTCTACTGGTGGGGCCCTCAACGGCAGTGTCTTCTCCAGCGCCAGGCTGCTCTTCGTCAGCTCGAGGCGTGGCCAGCTACCCAAGGTGTTCTCATACGTCCACGCTCAAAACTGCACACCCATCCCCGCCCTCGTCTTTATTGTGAGTCACCTTAGCTTTCGTGTTGTGGCAATAAGTGAAGACTCGAGCAGCAGATCACGCTTTGATTGGGACAACGTTCCGATCTGTGTGGAGTCTTATCAAATCAAGACATGATATAAGTTCTACACAGAGCAGAACGTTG